ACATGGAGAGGATTATAATTAAGGTGTATGATTTGTTGAATGAAAAACTGATGATCTGTCCTGTAAACTTTCACTCAATCCACAATAAAAACATGACAAATAATAATAATAATACATCATGACCAATCGGGATTCATACCAGGGACGCAAGGATAGTTCAATACAAGAAAAACAATCAGGGTGATCTACCAATAAATTTTACAAAGAGGAAAAGAACCACATAATCATGTCAACTAATGCAGAAAAGGCATTTGACAAAATTCAACACCCATTCCTGATAAAAACATTCAACAAAGTAGGAAATGAAGGGAAACTCCGCAACATAATTATGAGTAAATATGCAAAACCAAGAGCCAATATCCATCTTAATGGAGAGAAACTGAAAGCATTCCCTTTGCAAACAGAAAACAGATAGGGATGCACTTTATCACTATGCCTATTCAATATTGTGTTGGAAGTTTTAGCCAAAGCTTTAAGGCAAGATAGGGAAATTAAAGGCATACAAATCAACTAAGAAGTAAAACTCTATTAACAGATGATATAATCCTCCAAAACATAGAAAATCCCAAAGACTCAGCAAAAAAAAAAAAAAAAAAAAAAAAATTACTGGAATTATAGGAAGATTCAGTAAAGTGGCAGGGTACAAGATCAATATAAAATCAGTTGGATTCTTCTATACTAATAGACAGCCTGGAAAAGAAAATTAGGAAAACAATACCATTTATAACAGTTACTAAAAGGATGAAATATTCAGGAATAAATCTAACCAGAGAAACAAAGACCTATACAAAGAAAACTACAAAACAGAAAACTACAAAATAGATTTACAAAAATGGAAGACTATCCATGCTCATAGATAGAAAACTTAACATAGTGAAAATGTCAATACTACCCGAAGCAACCTATAGATATAACGCTATCCTAATCCAAACTCCCAACAACATTCTTTAAAAAGATGGGAAAAACATGAACAAACAAGATGGCAGATCGGATACAAGTGCAGTGAGGAACTCCATCAGCATCAACACAGAATACTGGACCAAGCAGGCTCAGGGGATGGTCCCAGAACTCTGAACCACATATAAAGGAGTATTTAGAAGGTTGGAAGGATTACAGCTAGAGAAATTGTAACAAAAGCAAGAAATCCGTTGCTTTCTAATTCAAGACGCTCAGCTGCTCCAGAGCCGCCATCTTGTGCAAGACAAAGCGGGGGAAGAACAGAGCAGCCACAGGACTGAGAGAACTGCGGAGATAAAGGTGTGGATGTTCTTTTTTTTTTTTTAAATCTGTTCATTGGTCTTGCACGGGTTGCGCACCTCCATTCTGGTGACTAGAGGGGTTGCCTGAGTGAGTGGACGCCCCACCCCCACCCCATGCAGGATCACTTCAAAAGTTTTAAAGTGACTGTTTCCACTTAAAACCAAACAGCAGTGCAAAACGGCCACAGCCGGCCCTGAAATATTTACCAATAGGAAAAAGGCCTAAACGGGGATTGTGGTGCGGGACAGGCAGACTAAAAAGGAAATAGGCTGAAAATTAAATCCTAAGCCACGTCACAAAGATGAAGAGTGGCATCTTGAAATTTCTCAGGAAGAAGAGGGAAAACGGAAGTCCATCTCCTGATCACATCAACCTGGAAGCAATCAGAAAGCATCAAAAATACCAAAACACACACCCATCTAAGTATTAAGGCCACAGATAACTTCTGAACATGCCCAAAAAACAGAAACGAAAGTTGAGGCTTGAATTTTTTCTTCAGTCCCACTAGCTTGAGAAATGCTGAGTGTGTTCCTCCGTTTTGGTTTTCTGATTCTAGATCTTTGTACATTTTGTTGTAATATTTGGCTTTATCTCCCTGAACTGATCTTTGAAATTTTCTGTTCAGCTCTTGGATCTCCTCATTTCTTCCATCTGCTTTAGCATCTCTACGCTGGACAGCAAGTTTCAGTGTCTCTTCTGACATCCATTTTGACCTTTACCTTCTTTCTTATCTTCTCAATGACTTTTTGCTTTCTTCGTGTTTTATGTTCTGGATGTCATCCTACAACTCTTCTGGTCTTCGGTCTTTAGTGTTTAATATATCAAATCTGCTCTTCAGATGATCTCTAAATTCAGGTGGGATATATTCAAGGTCATATTTTGGCTCTCATGGACTTGTTTTCATTTTCTTCAGCTTCAGTTTGAATTTGCATATGAGTAATTGATGGGTCAATTCCACAATCTGCCCCTGGCCTTGTTTTGACTGATGATATGGAGCTTTTCCATTGTCTCTATCTGTAGATATAGTCAATTTGTTATCTATGTATTCCTTCTGGTGAGGTCCATGTGTATAGTTGTCTCTTACGCTGTCTAAAGAAGGTATTTAAAGAACAAATCATTGGTTTTGCAGAATTCTATCATGCATTCTCCAGCATCATGTCAATCACCAAGGCCATATTTTCCAACTACTGAGCCTTCCTCTTTGCTCCCAATCTTTATATTCCAATCACCAGTAACGATCAATACATCTTGATTGCATGTTTGATCAATTTCAGATTGAAGACATTGGTAGAATTCTTCTATTTCAACTTCACTGGCTTTAGTGGTTGGTGTGTAAATTTGAACAATAGTGGTATTAACTGGGCTTCCCTGTAGGTGCGTGGATATTATTCTATCACAGAAAGCGTTGTACCTCATGACTAATCTAGATATGTTCTTTTTGACAATGAATGCAACACCATTCCTCTTCAGTTTCTCATTCCCGGAATAGTAAACCATGTGGTTGTCAGATTCAAAATGGCCAATACCAGTCCATTTCAGCTCACTAATGCCTAAGATATTGATGCTTATGTGCTCCATTTCAGTTTTGACAACTTGCAATTTTCCCAGATTCATACTTCGTACATTCCATGTTCTGATATTCAATGAATGTTTACAGCTGTTTCTCTTCATTTTGTGTTGTGCCCCATCAGCAAATGAAGGTCCCACGGTCTGTAGTCATCACAGTCAACTCTACTTTGAGGAGGCAGCTCTTCCCCAGTCGCATTTTGGGTGCCTTCCAACCTGAGGGGCTCATTTTCCGGCACTATATCTGACAGTGTTTCTCTGCTATTCATAAGGTTTTCAGTGACTAAATATTCTAAAGTAGTTTGTCACTCTTTCTTCCTAGTCTGCCTTTGTTTGGAGGCTCATCTGAAACCTGTCCACTATGGATGACCCTGCTGGTATTTAAAATACAGGTGCCACAGCTTTCAGAATCACAGCAACTCACAAGCCACAACAGTACAACAAACTGACAGATGAAGACGAGTGGTGGTAAACTAACATACTTTAAGGATATGTTATTACAATTTATGGAGTCCTGGTATGGCACTGTGGATTAATGCATTGGACTGCCAGGTCAGTTTGAACTGCAAGGTTGGCACTTCAAGCTCACCAGTCATTGCTCGGAAAGCAGTGTCACTATGAGTCAGAACTGACTTGATGGCACTTAACAACAACAAATTATGAATGATATATTAAGTGGAAGTTTGTAAGTTAAAGGCAAAAATAAGGAACCTGCTCTTTTAAAATAGCCTATTTGGGGCTGTACAGTATCATGCAGCCTATTATCTCAACACCAAAGTTCGGTATTAGAAAAATTATTACATTATTATATATCAACCAAAGCTATTGCTGTTGCTATTAAGCATGTCAAGCTGATATTCAGCTCATAGCAACTGCAAATGATATAACTTCCCCATAGGAATTTCTTGGCTGTCATGGTGCCATGGGTTAATGCACTGAACTGCAAAGTTGGTTTGAACTTCAAGGTCAGTAGTTCAAGCTCATCGACTGCTCCTCAGAAACCCTATACAGGGTTACTATAGGTCGGAACCTACTTGATGACACTTAACAACAACAATCTTTAAAACAACAGATCCATAGGTCTTTTTGCCATGAAGCCACTGGGAGGTTTGGATTATCAGCCAAGCATGTAACTGTTGCGCCACCAGGACTCCTATACCCATCAACCAAACCCATCAAACTGACTCTGACTCAGAGCAACACTGAATTTCTGAGACTATAAATCTTTATAGGAGCAGAAAGTCTCATCTTTCTCCCAAAGACTGGCTGGTGGGTTGAACCACCAACCTTGCAGTTAGCAGTCCAATGCTTATCCTGCAGTACCACATAAGGATTCCCCTATAGCCATGTTGTTGCTGTTAAGTACTGTGGAGTCGGTTCTGACTCACAGCGACCCTTTACAGAATTTCCAAGGAGCCAAGCGCTGACTGTGCAGTTCAAAGCAACTTTGCAATTCAGCACATTAATCCATAGCGCCACACCAGGACTCCCCTATAGCCATAAATGTGGTTCATATAAATATGTAAGCTATTTTAAACACCTCCACATTTAAATCAAGCCATCAACGAATTACATCATAGTAGAAGGGATAATCGTCCTCAGCTTGGTGAGCCAAAATTCAATGGGAGGTGAAATCTATGGCGTACAAAAGTGGTCTTGAAGGATTCTTTCACTGTGTAAAGGTTTAGTACTGTTTGCTTTTCCAATCTGCTAAACTGTACTGAAGGAGCCCTGATGACACAGTGAGTTAAGCATTTGGGCTACTACCCAGAAAAAGCTGGCAGGTCAAACCCACCAGCTTGCTCTACAGGACAAAGATGAGGCTGTCAGCTCCTGCAAAGATTTATAATCTTAGAAACCCTACGGAGCAGTTTAACTCTGTCCTATAGGGTCACTATGAGGCAACTCAAGGGCAGTAAGTTTGGTTTTTAGTTTAAACTGTACTAAGTGGAAGGCAACAGAATCTTAGACGGGGTAAGAGAATAAAAATCTATTGTTACGGGCTGTTGTTGTTAAGTGCTGTCAAGTCAGTTCAGACTCATAGAGATCTTGTATAGGGTTTCCGTGGAGTGGCTGGTGGGTTTCAACTGCTAACCCTTTGGTCAGCAGCCTGGTGCTTATCCTTCAGTGCTACACCAGGACTCTGTTATGGGTAGATAACATGAATTACTTACCAAGCAATTTCCACTGCTGAGTTTTCTCTTTGAATTCCACAAATGGAGAGAAACTGGCAGGAACAGCTGCAAGGACACAGACAACATAAACAAGGCTCATAGATCAGAGGGAGTGTGTTCCTTTTTGCTAACCCGGACAGAAGCACATTTAAAACTACAGTCAGATAATAGACGGCAGTCCTAAACTTCTGAAATAGTTTTAGAATGTGCCCAATGTATCAGGATAGCAGAGGCCTCCAAGTGCAAAGGCACAAAAACGGGCTAAATCAGAAATGTTGTATTTTACTACAAGAATTAGACACTGACCCTACAGAAAAAGCATCTTACCTCGGCTTTCTCCAGCAAGATACTGCAGGGCTGGTAGCACTAACTCTGCCCAGTTGGGGGCTGCAGAAAACCAGCTATTGAGAGAGCTAGCTGGAGATGACTGCCAATCCAAAACTCGCTCCTCCAGCTGAAGGAAAGTAAAGGCAGAAACCAGTCAGGTTTCTGCTCTAGACAAGCAACAGCACAGATGTGCCATGCAAGCTGGGGTATATTTTGCCCTTGTTTGCCCAAATCACAAAGCAAGCTGGCTGCAGAGCACTGGGGAAAACCAGAGTTCTGCTTCTCAAGCTACAAACTATTAGTAAAGACTTCTAAGTATGGAAAACCTCATGGTACATTCCACTTTTCCAAAGCTCTTACCATAGGAAGGCTAGCCTGACCCTCCAGCAGCAAGATTTCTAATAGGAGAGAGAAGAAACTGGAAGATATTTCATTAATTCCAAGGCAAGGCTTGAGGTCTTCAAGAGGTCTAATAAGGGAAGAAAAATATGAGAACAAAACAAGAAATACCAACACATATCCCTCTATTGTTTCAGCCCAAGCTTCCTACAGCAAAATCTGCATTTTCTCTAGCAAGATCTATGAGACTTAGAGGACACATGTTAAACACAATGCCACATAATTCAAGCCCACTAACAGCAAGGACCAGAGTAAAGGGTACCATGTAGTCCTCAGTTCAACATTTACCCAGAGTTGCAATCCCTGCTGCTCACTTACTCTTCCTTGATAGCAGGTATTGCCAGTGGAGATGGGGCCTGCGAAAGAGGTGGGATGCCCTCAGTACTACTCAGGGGTTCAGCCAGATCCTCTGACTCTGATTTAATCATTTTTAGTTTCTTCTTCTTCTCTTTTTCCTTGACCTTTTTTTTAAGGACAGCTAAATCATACAGGGCTAGAAAGAAAAAGTAACAGAAGTCATAGAACTGAAATGTCTACATCTGGAAATGCAGGTTCTTATCTGATTATTTTCCCAAAGGCCCCTAGTATGAGAAAGGTAAATCTCAGTAATAAGATATTTAGATTTTAATTACTATACCCAATGAGTGATTTACAGCTTAATTTTAATTCTTCTTAAAGAGTCAGTGATCTGTTGTACAGACTTTTTATTCATTTCTCATCTTATAAATCCATGAGAGGCAATAACAAAAAACAAAAAGGTTATCAGCAAGAAGGTTGAATTTATTTTTGCAGTGTATCACCAAAGGTCATGCAATGTATCACCAAAGTCACATGAAGGTCACCTAGAGGGAATCACAGTCACATACCTGCTAGAGAGCCCTTCCGACCAGCATTTACTCTAGTCATGATGTCACTGAGAGTCAGGTCTGCTGTCAAGAGGTCTGGGTGATCCTAAATGTGATATTCAAACATCAGTTATGGGGATCCAAAAGGGAACTAAACCTGATAACAATTCTGTCAATGTACTGAACAAAAACAGTAAGTATATGGTATATTTGAGGAATCATGTTGAATTAAAAATTACTCTTGACAACAGTGCAGAGAACTCAGTTTCTACCTGTCTACTATATGACACTTTACAGTTTACAAAGCTCTTTCACATTCCTTGTCTCAGGTGCTCTTCAAGCAGTCTTGTCAAGCATTACCATATTTTATATTTAGTTTCCAAGGAAAATGGTGTTAAGAGAATATGAGAAATTTTCCCAGTATCATGCATGAAAGACAGAGATGAAAACAATTCTGACTTCTGACTCATATGTCTTTCATGCATGATACTGGGATTCTTCCTACATCACTACTCTTGTCTTAGATGGACTGTCTTTTATCTTCCTCAAAAGACAGATTCTTTTCCCACTATACTCTGTGGTTTAGCTTTAGTAGCATTACCTTGATTTGGTAAAAGTAAAAGAGAGAGAGTAAAAAAGTGGAAAGGGCACAGAACTGACTCTTGGCTCTACCACTTCCTAGCCAAAGGACCTTGGACAAGCTCTTTAACATTTCTAAGCACTGGCAACAAAATGGAGGTCATGATTCATATACCTCCCACCCAGTATTGTTGTAATGGGAGTCCTGGCACGGCACTGTAGGATAAACACTGGACTGTCAAATGTAGGGTCAGCTGTTTAAACCCACCAGCTGCTCCTTGGAAACCCTATACAGGATTGCTACAAGTTGGAACCAACTCAGTGGCATTCAACAACAACACTGTTATAAAGATTGTTGTTGTTGTGTGCCGTGGAGTCGGTTCCGACTTATAGCGACCCTGTACAGGGTTTCCGAGGCTGTGAATCTTTACAGGAGCAGAAAGCCTCATCTTTCTCCTGCGGAACAGCTGGTAGTTTCGAACCACTGACCGTGAGATTAGCAGCCCTATTCGTAACCACTATGCTACTGTAAATATTAAACCAGATTAAAATCACAGCACTTGTCATCTTCTCACCATCTTTGATGTTAACTAGTCTTTGTGCTTACTCCTGTTGTGATAGTGACTACCTTTATATACCTTAGGATATCCAGTCGAGAGAGAGCAAACCAACAACCACTAGTGACCACTCCCGCCTCATCTTACTGGTTGATGTTTCCGCTTCTCATGGTGCTTCTTTAACATTATCTTCAGGTCACCGTCCCCCAGTTCTACTTTATCTGAGAGAAAATGAATCAAATCACATGGACTACATCAGCCACTACCAAGACGCTCAAACTTAAAATTTTCTCATCACTTGTCATACTCAAGGTATCTGTTTCCCTAAGATTCTTGTGTAATACAAATGCCAAAAATCTAAGAAATGGTTATAGGAATAACGCTTCAATATCTGCATACAATGACTGCATACAATATCAGTAACAATGATTAGTTATTTATCTAGTCCTAAACAGGAGTCCTAAGGAGCTCTGGTAGCGTAGTGGTTACAAATCGGGCTGCGAACCTTAAGGCCAGCAGCTCGAAACTACCAGCCGCTCCGCAGGAGAAAGATGAGGCGTTCTGGTCCCGTAAAGATTTACAGCCTCAGAAACCCTGTACAGCGTCGCTATGGGTCGGAACCGACTCGACGGCACATAACAACAACAACAATAAAACAGGAGTGGCGCTGTGGGTTAATGCGTCAGACTGCAAAGCCATTTGAACTGCAAAGTTGGTGGTTCAAGCTCACCAGCTGCTCCTCAGAAACCCTACACAATAGGGTTGCTATGAGTCGGAACCAACTCGATGGCACTTAACAAAAAACAGGTTCTTAATACTCATCTTGATTCCAACTCCAAATAAAAATTCTTCCTAATGTCATAGCTTTCTAAGAAACTGTTATGGCTCTAGTTACCCCTCTTACTGTATTATCATCCATTAGTACTGCTATTTTGCTTTAAGATACTGCACTCTTCATTCTTTAATATTAAAACAACCAGCTAGTCAGCTCCTGAGGACATTAAAAAACACACACACACACACACAAAACACAAAAAATGGAAGGTAGGTCCAAAAACAAGAGGCCATATTGGTTGGTTAGTCATGAGCCATAGAATCAGTTCCAACTCAAAGCGACCTTGTAGACAGTTACATAAATATTTATGGGAACAGAAAGCCTCATCTTTCTCCCACGAAATAACTGGTAGTTTCAAACTGCTGACCTTCAGGTTAGCAACCCAACTTGTAACCACTACTACACTACCAGAGCACTTTAAGAGGCCATACAGCTTACTGTATTTCATATTCATCAAAGTACTATGAGACTGTTCACATTTATACACCAATTCCAGTGCAACCTAGCTTTCATAATAACCCACTATGAATTTGAAATTCACTTGTTTTTCTTAGTAAATACTGAAGCTATACTGTTTCATCAATTTTAACATAGACATTTTTCATGTTATAACATCCCTTAAATCAGAATATATCTTAAAATTGATTATAAGAGTCAAGTTATATTCTGAACCTCTTTAAGTCATAAAATCTGTGAGTTCATTGCTCACATCTTATATCTAGGCCCCTACTTTATTTAAACTCCAGGAAGCAGCCTAATGTGAAAAAGTGGTAAAAACTTTCATCCAGATCTCCTAGTTCTAAGTAAGATTGCTTTGTTTTCCTGGAAGGTTAAGAATCTAGCATCTCACATCAAGGATCAATCCTATCCACACTGTACACAGGGATGATAGGGACAGGAAACTTATACAGACAATGGCTACCTAAAATTGGGGGGGCGATAAGGCACTAAGTGACTGGCTTACAAGTTTTCAGGGGAGAGTTTAGTTTCAGAGTGAACAGGGGAAGGCACAATCCCCAATGAATAGCTTTCAACTTGTCTAGACAGGTCTGGTGAAAGGAGATGGGGGTAAGATTCTTATAGTAATTGTTATCATGACTAACTGTGACTGTCACAACTGTAAAGATAAAAGTTTTGCAACACAAAGGGAAGAACAGTTAATCTTACAGTCCAGGAACAGAGGACCCTAGGGCCATCAAAGGAGAAGAGCACGAGCAGAATGTGGAACTCTATCCAGAGAAGCAGCGACACCAGAGATTGAGGCAGAGATGAGAACATGGAGATAGAAAACAACTGAGGACTCTAGACTCATGGAAAGAGAAAGGCTGTGTGCTGGCACCCATGAGGCAGACTTGCAGATTATGCCCTTTGGTTGTTTAAATTACTATATATTCCTGAGTGCTTTGGGGTACATCCCCACCAACACACACATACAAAATAGAGGGAATAGAAGCAAATACTGTTGAATGATGATGTACGGAGGAGATTGTAATCATTGCAATGAAATGAAATACAATAGGATACAAGTGTAAAACCGATGTTCTCCCATGTAAACTATCACTAAATTCACAATAAAAACTTAAAAAAAGAATGTACTATCTCCCTCCCTCAAATGACGTTCTCATATCTACACCCTGATTTATCAGAGTGCCAACATTATCAGCTCAGTTCTCACCTGCAGTTTTCATATCCATGGTTGAAAGTGTGGGCACCACCCTGAGGGGTACCGCAGGACTAGGAGAACACGCTGGAGAGCTCGGAAGCCATGAGCTGAGATCTTCAAAAGAAAATTTTTCTTGTAAATCCAACGTGGCTGTGGACTCCAATAGGGGAGATTGGGTAAGTGGCCATTTGGGTTCAACAAGACTAAGACAACCACATGGAGGCCAGGGTTCCACATTCCTTTCTGACCCTTCCCCAGATGGACTGGAACACACTTAGGTCATTTAAACAGCTCTTCCAGGAAGAGAGGCGTCACCAGAGTGATGGGTCGCATTGCAGTAGGCCAACAGTCACTACTACTCTCCTGTAAGGGGAAAAGCAGTTCTCTCAAGCGGCACAATAGGACCAGACAAGCCTATTGTGGAAAGAGCCCTGCCAAGCAGGGATTTGTCCAATAGGTTCTAACCTAAACGCTAATGCCACTTAAGCATTAAGGGTAAACAATGCATACAGTCATTTCCCACCTAACAGGAATGTCTCAGTGACCCAAAGACCAAGAGTTTTTGAGTTCCACCAACCACCCATCAAACAAGCAAACTTTGAGGGCTTCCTTTTTGGGGAGATACATAGCTACCACTGGCTCCAAATATAAATCTGACACCCCAGTCACCCCAAGGGCTCATGGACATGCACCTTCTTCATCAGATGATAAAGCGGTATCACCACACTCCTCCTTCACTTCCCTCAAAACTTTCAAATATCGCTGCTGGGTACGCCACTCTCGCTCCTCAGGGGTGCGTGAAGGGGAAGGGCGTTTGTGCCGGAGGGGAATGGATGGGCCACTTCTTCGGGCCATCTCAAGTAGATCCTAGAAGAGATCAAATGTGGTACATGCTATTATTAAAATTGTGCTCCAGAACAAAGGACATTTTCCTACTGTGTTTCACAAACTCAACTCCCTTACCCTAGGTTATGAAGAAAGTATCGGGGCTGGGGAGTTCAAAAAGTTCAAGGAAAAATGGAATGAAAAGGTAATCGGATTTTTTTCCAACAACTTTTGGAAGCAAAAAAAAAATGTGCCTAGGTTGATTATTACAAGGTGAAAAATCTCAGACCTGAATGTTGAACTGTCCTATTAAGAATGAATGCTTAAAATATACATCAAGTATTTCTATACCACTTAAAGACAAAACAACTTTACCTCTAAGAATTGATGACCTGGTCTAGAACCTAGTATACTTCATATCCACAAGGCTATTGGAGGCTGTGCACAATTATACATCAATTCCAGAGCAACCTACTTTTCACAATTACCCACTATGTGTCTAAACTCCACTCACTTACCTTAGCAAATACTGAGACTACTCTCTCATCAATTTTAAGATGCCCATATTTTAACATCTCTAAAAGCAGGAAGTATCTTATAATTGATCATAAGAATTAAGCTATAACTGTGTCAAGATTTAATTCTTTTAAGTCACGAAATCTCTGCATTCACTGCCCACATTTTATATCCAGTTCCCAATAGTACTTACACTCCGGGAAGCAAGTATCTGCTTCAGCAGTCGATGGAAATACTGCTGCTGAGAGTTGAGGTATCGCTTGTACTGTGACTTGAAGCACAACTGCCGATACTTGACTACCTCAGGATTAAAGTGACCATCTTAAAAAAAGAGAACAACAAATAGTTAATGAATGCTTAAATTGTATTACACTGTCCTTGTTGGAATACAGGTGAGAAAAAAGATAACCCATGTCCTTTTGAAGCCTCTATCCAACAAGTCAAGAAAGAAAATAAGTTAACAAGTGAATTCTACTCAATTCTCTTAAGTAGTATAAGGAAATTAACTTGAAACAATTCTGGAAAACAAGGAGAATTATATCACAGACCAAAAATATCCATTGCCATGGAATCAATCCGACACATAGAGATCTTATACCCAAAAGGGTTTCCAAGGCTGTAAATCTCTATAGAAGCACACTGCTACACCCATCTCACACGGAGTGCCTGAGTTCAAACCACCAACCCTCAGGTTAGTGGTTTAGTGCTTTAACCAGAGCCACCAGGGCTCCATTAAATCAAGGAAGGGGTATCTAAAAAAAGACATTAAGTTCTGACCAAAGCAACCACAGTAAAATGTCACAAATGATAACAGACAATAAAGGTTACACGGATGTTTACTGTATTTCTCATGTTTCAAACATTTCCTATCTTGAAATTTTTTCTAAATGAAAAATTGGGAAGAAAATAAAAAGAAAACTAAAATGGGAAATAGCATGTGTTCCTGAGGCATGTTCTAAAACTAAAGGAAGGTCTTTAAGATTAAATTGTAACTGAGCAGAGTAGATTGTAACTGAGGAGGAGTGGCACAAGATGACCCTGGAAGATAAGCAGGCACAATCAAATCACAGAAAAACTTGTACATTAAGGCATGGATTTTATCCTAAATGCAATGGAAATAATTTGAATGATGTGTAGATTAGGAAAATGCCATAAATGAGAACAAGAGCGAGTACTGCACTGGTCCAACTAAGAGAAAATAATGGCTTGGTCCAACAGCTTTTCTTCACACTCAGAATAAAAGCCACAATCCTAAAGATGGCATGCAAGACCCTTTATGACCTGTCACTTATAATCTTTTACTTCATCTTCTCCCACTCTCCCGTCTGCTGGCTCTGCTTCAGTCCCACCAGCCTCTATGCTAGTTCCTGAACAGGTCATAGACCCTACATTCTTAAGGTTATTGTATTAAAGTTTCCTCTTGCCTGCAATGCTTTCCTTTCAAACATAAAGTAAGTATTTCCATGGCAAGTTTGTCCTACCTAAGTCTCTATTCAAATGTTCAACTCATCAGAGAAGCCTTGCGTGGTTACCAAATGTAAAGCAGCTTCCTTCAACACCTTCAGTCCTCTCTCCCTTCCTTGTTCTGTGTAGCACTTAAAGCCAAAAAATACTCACTTTTTTACCATTCGTTTCTCCCTATATAAGAATGTAAGATCATTGCATCGCTAGAACCAAAACACTTGGCATATTTTAGCTGAATAATAAATAGTGGTTAAATGAATCAAAGCGGAAAGACCTGAGATACATTTTTGAAGTAAAAAAGTAAGGCCTGCTGATGTCTTGAATGCTGGGGCAAGAGGGGAACAACAGAGAGGTCACCCCAGTATCAGTATAGTACCTAGATTACAGAACATGAGCAACTGGTACCATTTCCTAAAATAAGGTTGTTGTTATTGTTATTAAGTACCGTGGAGTCAGTTCCGACTCATAGTGACCCTGCACAGGGTTTCCGAGGCTGCAAATCTTTACAGGAGCAGAAAGCCTCATCTTTCTCCCACGGAACAGCTGGTAGTTTCAAGCTGCTGACCTTGAGGTTAGCAGCCCAATTCATAACCACTACGCTACCAGTTGTTGTTGTTGTTTAGTGCCGTCGAGTCGGTTCTGACCCATAGTGACCCTGTACAGGGTTTCCGAGGCTGTAAATCTATATACGGGAGGCACAACGCCTCATCTTTCTCCCGCGGAGCGGCTGGTAGTTTCGAACTGCTGGCCTTAAGGTTCGCAGCCCAATTCGTAACCACTACGCTACCAGAGCTCCTTTAAAATAAGGTAGTCTACGATAAATCTAATTTGGACATAGCAGATTTGACCAGGTATGCCATGATGAATACTGAAGGGGAAAGATTAAGAAACTAATTTCAGAATACTAAAATAAGAGGTTAAAGCACGACATGATCTACGTTTGCTTGTTTGTTTTTAATTCCCTTTATTGTTGTGTGCCATCAAGTCACTTCCGACTTATAGCGATCCTGTATAGGGTTTCTGAGGAGCAACTGGTAGGTTTGAGCTGCCAACCATGTGGTTTAAGCAGTCCAGAGCTTATCCTACACCAGGATAAGCACCACACCAGGACTCCCTTGCCACCCAAATAATATTCAAGATCACTAGTAACAAACAGGACAGTGCCTAGCACATAACTTCCACTAAATGAGAGGGCTTTGAAACGTCCATGGAAAAAAATACACTATCTTTCAATTGCACTTTTCCATGAGTTTTTGAAGTCCTGTCATATACAAGAATTATGCATATATTATAACTCATATAATCTTCACAACAGCCCCAAGAAAAAGGTACCATTAACTCCTCTTTTGAAGAAACTGAAACACTTAGAAGTTAAATAATTTTCCCAAGATCAGATAATGCCAATAAAAAAAAGAGTGGAACACAAAAACTGGACAAATATCCTATTTCTCTGCCTCTTTATTACTTTCTGTCTTTAGTTTCCTCAACTTTTTGATAGTCATTACATACGTTGTTGTTAGGTGTCATCAAGTTTCTATTCAAACTCATGGCAACCCACATGTACAGAGTAGAACTACTATACTTCTGTTGAAATGCTATTTTGGATATGTTGGACTAAAGAAAATATATCATTAAAATCAATTTTATCTGTTTCTACTTTTCTTAAAAACAGGCTACTGGTGGTGACGGTTGTGTGCTACCAAGTCAGTTCTGACTCATAGCAGCTCTGTACAGGGTTTCCAAGACCATAATATTTACAGGGGCAGAAAGCCTTGTCTCTGTCCTGTTTAGCAGTCACATTCAAACACGGACCTTACTGTTAGTAGCTCAGCTCATAATCCGTTATGCTACCAGGGCACCTTTAATTAGGCTAGCAGGAAATTTAAAATTGAACACATGGCTCATGTAATACTTCTATTGCCCAACAATGAGTGAGAATATAGTGAAAAAAGGAGAAGAATGAAAATAGTAAATGAAGTTGGATTATGGGGCAGGGGCCAAATAATGTAGATTTCTATTGTTGTAAAGTGCTGTCGAGTTGCTTCTGACCCAAGCAACCCTGTATAGGGTTTCCAAGGAGTAGCTGGTGAGTCTGAAACACCGACCTTGAAGTTCAAACGGATTTGCAGTCTGGCACATTAACCCACAGCGCCACACCAGGACTCCTAGTAGACACCTATAGGCTATGGAAAGAGATGATGGAAAAGCTCTGTATCATCAGTCAATACAAGGCCAGGGGCAGATTGTGGAAGAGACCATCAATTGCTCATATGCAAATTAAGACTGAAGCTGAAGAAAATGAAAATAAGTCCACGGGAACCAAAAATATGACCTTGAATATATCCCAACTGAATTTAGAGATCATCTGAAGAAAAGATTTGAAACATTAAACACTGAAGACTACAAGAGTTGTGGGATGACATCAAGAACAGCATACATGAAGAAAGCAAAAAGTCACTGAGAAGACAAGAAAGAAGGAAAAGGCAAAACGGATGTCAGAAAAGACACTGATACATGCTCTCAAGCAGATATGCTAAAGCAAATGGATGAAATGAGGACATATCAGAGCTGAACAGAAAATTTCAAAGCTCAGCTCGAGAAGACAAAGTCAAACACTATAACAAAATGGCATAGATCTGAAGTCAGAACTAAAAAGGAAGAACACACTCTGAAAAAAATTCAAGCCTCGACTTTCATTATTGAAGGATTCTCTGTGCAAATTATTGAATGATGCAGAAAGCATCAAAAAAGATGGAAGGAATAGTCACTATACCAAAAGGAAATGGTTGATATTCAACCATTTCAAGAGGTAGCATATGATCAAGAGCCAATGATACTAAAGAAAGAAGTCCAAGGTGCACTGAAGGAATTGGCAAAGAACAAGGCACCAGGAATTGATGGAATAAAAATTGAAATCTTTCAAGAAAGTGAGGCAACACTGGAGGCCTCACTCATCTATGCCAAGAAATTTGGAAGATAACTATCTGGCCAACTGATTGGAAGAGATCTGTATTTGTGCCCATTCCAAAGAGAATGCAGCAAAGAGAACCCAACGGAATGCAGAAATCATCAGACAATCAATGTCTTTGATAGTCCAAGCGAGTAAAGTGTTACTAAAGGTAATACAAAAGTGGCTGCAAGCATACATTGACAGAGAACTTCCAGAGGTTCAAGCCAGATTCAGAAGAGGACGTGGAACAAGGGAAATCATTGCTGATGTCCGATGGATCTTGGCTGAAAGCAGAAAATACCAGAAAGATGTTTACCTGTGCTTTACTGACTAAGCAGAGGCTTTCAATTGTGCGGATTATGACAAGCTATGGACAACATTGCCAAGAATGAGTATTCCTGAACATTTAATTGTGCTCATGAGGAATTTGTACATGGACCAAGAGGCAGGTGTTCAAACAGAACATGGAAACACTGAATGGTTTTTAAAATTAAGAAAGCTGTGAGACAGGGTTATATTCTTTTACCATACTTATTCACCCTATATGCTGAGCAAATAACTGAGAAGCTGGGTTATACGAAGAAAACGTGGCATCAGGATTAGAGGAAGACTCAGGAACAACGGGCGATAAGCAGATGATACAATCTTGCTTGCTGAAAGTTTGTTTTTGTTGTTATGTGCTGTGGAGTCAGTACTGACTCATAGCGGCCCTGTACAGGGTTTCTGAGGCTGTGAATCTTTATGGGAGCACAAGCCTCATCTTTCTCCTGCGAAACAGCTGGTAGTTTCGAACTGCTGACCATGAGATTAGCAGCCCAATTCGTAACTACTACGCTACCAGAGATCAGAGTGAAGAGGACTTAAAAATACTTACTGATGAAGATCAAAGACCACAGCCTTCGGTATG